AACTGCTATTATTGAGTAGATAAAGCGAAGATATCTCACGAGGTAGTAAAAGACAATGTTCCAAAAGACTCAACAGGTGAGGGTAGGCAGCAGTGTGACTGAGCTTTCTCCTCAACAGATCGAACATCGCCGTAGCGCTCTTCGTGTCCACGTGTTCCTTCTCGAACTTCCTCGCCAATTCCTTCTCGTCTTCGTTCCTCACCATTTCGAAAAAGTCCAAATGCCTATCCAACGTCTCGTTCTCGTACTTCCTGAGCTTCTCGATGATCGGCTGAATACCAAGCATCAGTAATTCGTATCTCAGGTGCAACCTGAACTCCAAAGTCACCTGGCCAGGCCCGTAATTCAGCACCGCGTTGATAAATGACATTATCGCCGTTTTCAGGGACAGATTGTCCTTGTAGATGCCGAAGTTTTTGTCCAAGTCGTTTATAATACTCTGGAAACGCGTCCGTTCGGAATGATACTGCTGGAAATGTAGCATCGCTTCCAAGACTTTCCGATGACCACCTGGAACCAAGCAAACGGCACCCAGGATTTCCAGAACGGATATCTTTGTCTTGATATTTTCAGTCGCCAGCGACTGAGATATCGTATTGATGGCAGTTGGGTGAGCCAATACGTGTGCTCTTCCGTTCTGCAAAGACGATTAGAATCGCGATAGAGCTTGTTGTTGAGAAGTTGCCTGAGCGATCCATCACCATCCAATCTTACCGAATTGTTCATCAACGCCTTTAAACATCCTATCACGCTTGTATGCAGGTTGCTGTTCGCTGCCTCCGCGTCCATAGTTCCAAGTACTTGCAACAGAGCGTTCAGTCCGTCGAGTTCTATAAACCTGAGGACGAAGCTGTGCGGCTGTGTCCTCAGAGCAGTCTTCAAGGCTTCGGTTTGTCGCATCTGATTCGAAACTTCCTCACCCTCCTCCGGGAAAGGGCTCTGAAACGAACAAAATTCATCGTGAAAAATGCATAAATATAAATTCGTTCGTTGTCAACAGCTGTGTGTCAGACATTTACACACTGTGACATGACACACAAAAATCATCAAAATCATCACACTCACATTGGCTATCGTTCTCAGCCTATTGATGTAATCCTCGGGATCCCCGCTCAGGTCTGTAGTTCGTAGTCCGCCATTCTCGAGCGTGCCGTTACCTTTCCTGGAGCAATATATCTGCCACTTTTTGTTCGCCGGAAGTGCCAGAACCGCCTGCCGGTTGGCCTGGGTCAGGTCCAGCTCGTCGACCAATTCGAGGAACATCTTGTTCAATTCCTCCTCGGCAGGCATCGGCAGGGTGGGCGTCATTGCTTGAAGCGTGAGCGTACCCGTGTGCTCCACAACGCAATACGTGATTTCCGGTGGCTCGTCATCCTGCGTCGAGAAAGAAACGCAACCATATTTTCAGTCACATGTTACAACCGCTGCTCATTTGATTTTCCTGCAGGCTTGTTTTTGCAGAATAGTATGAAGACGAAGATGATGATGATGATGAAAGGAGGAATAAAACGTGGCTACGTGGCCGCTCGCGAAAGGATTCCATGGAGACGTTATCTTAATAACGGCGCAGGAAGTATCGATTCAAGCCGGGCATTTTCGACTTTCCGTGGAAATCGATTGGGAAGACGATCGAGAGTACGTAACCAGGTCTTGACCTTATTCAAGACCAGCCTCGACATTAAATCGCGAAGTTGGCTGGTCGTCGAGATGCCGCTGTGAACTAACTTTGCATGTACACAGTATGTGTGATCGATACTCGGTCGAACTTGTGTGAAACGCTTCGCGTAAAAAAGTATTCTCGCGTAGCGGTGACATATCGTAATCATTGCGATATTCAGATTATGTATACTACACGCGCAACTTCAACCTGTATTTGCGAGCCTCGAACGATCATTAACACAATCGCGCACTGTACCATTCCCGTGGCTCTTTCGCTCGGCTCGAGCAGTCCAGAACCAGCGGCAGCAAAGGTCAGGGGACCGGCTCAGGCACTGGATTCCTAAGGTACTTTCACACGTGACTAGGAAATTATCTATTCACCTAGCGGGCCGTCGATTTATTCTTCACAAACATCATCATCCTACGAGACCGAGAGCATGCGTGCCATTTAAACCATTTATCGTTCGCTGAGCAAACGCTCGTGCGATCTTAAAGTTTACGTGACGCACATATTCCCGCCATATTCGACGATGTTGTCACGGAACGATAAGAGGAAACTATATTGTGATAACAATCTGTCAACAAGGACGTCGTCAAATTGTTTGCACTACGGTTTACACAGACAGTTCCGCATTGCTGTGTAAGAATGCACAATGATTTATGGCATCAGCGATGATTATTCAGTCTCTGTTCTATCACCGAAGTTTCTTCGAATTTTTTGTTATCAACGAATCTTCCAAATAATCGCCAGATACGTCCCGATTTCCTCGAAAGTCGCTTGCAACACCCAGCATCCCTGAATTCGTTCCAGGTTAATACTTAGAACACGTGAACACGAAACAAGAGGAGACGCGATAAAGCGTGACACGGCACGCACACGTGAGTTTCCGGTGTAAAAACGCGAAAGAGGTCAGCCAGTTCCAGTAGGACGAAAATCTATCCGCCATGACGAATGTGTCGCGCAAATAACGCGGACAGATCTCTATAATCTGAAAAAATCAAGGTGGTGATATACCGGTAGCTAGGGTTTCTTCCCTTTGGATCATGCGATTCGTACGGTGTTCACATGTAATTGGATCACTTGAGAATCTCTGGGAAAACAACATTGTATCTTGAGAGAAACTTTGTTAAGTTTCTTTATTAAATTTACAAATTTTGTTGGCGCCAGTGATACGAGCTTTCTGACGTTTAGTTCAACTCTGCTTCGTTGTTACATCATTTTCGACCTCTTTAAATATTTTTCTTTTTTTTGGAATGTCTTATTTAAAAGATCGGGATTATACTGAATATCAAATCAAATCAAATTTTTGATAATATCTATTGAAGCATGGAATATAAAATTATAATATCTATTACATATAAATACAATATATTAATACATTGTAAATACAATATATTAATACATTATAAATACAATATATTAAAAAAAATGTTGTATATATGTATGTCGTTGTACATGAATAGCACTATACTTAAAAATAAATCTTCACTTGTTAGATGCTGTATATCATAGAATTTGTTATTTATTTATTTTTTGAAATACAGTGATTCTTTATTCCTCAACATATTCCTTTCTACATCTTATATTTGTCGTTGAAAATTTTTGTCGCTTATTTTTCAAATTACCCCAGTTTGATTCGCTATTTTTCGCTCGGGATTATTTTGTTCGTGGACACTAAAAGCTCCAACTTATATTGATTTCAGATAGAGACCTAAGGAAAGCAGCGGAATTAAATTACATTTTATATAAATGATACATAGCGTGAATCACAATTTTCTACGAAACTTTTCAACCACCTTGACTTTCTGTCAAATTAAAATAAATGAACATAGACTCAAATAATATCACGATTGCGATCATCGCTTTCTTGAAGAAAGATCCATTTGATGAACAGACGAAAAGCATTGACAGTTATTTCAATTCTTTCGAATTTTATTTCTCGTCCGATAAAGGTGAAACGGGGAATAAACGAAATCAGAGAATAAAAAATGATCGTACGAAAGAATAGAAACGATTTAAACGATTTAAACGCGAAAATCACCTCAACTCGGTGAAAAGTAGCACGCCGAGCCCTGGTGAACTCGTAAACAACCAATTGTTCCTGCGTTTATTCCGCACGTAAAAAAAATTTGCTGTCCAACTATATCGGGCAGATGATTATAAAACACAGCTTGGCGTTATGCAGAACGCAATATTCCGCGTCTTATCTTTTTGCAAGCATATTTCTCGTTTTCTCTGTTGCAGCTTGATAACAGGCATAATTCAAGTCACAGCCTCGAAAGCATTATTTAACTGTATAAAACGAACCGATTCAGTGCAATCGCGTATTCATCGGTCGCACGCGACGTGATTTATAATCAGTTGCATTGGAACGAAAGCAAAATGTTATACAGTACACACGCTGATATCACGAAACCATCGTGCAATTTCCAAGGATTTAACTTTAGATGAACGTTGGAATTTAACTTTTCCTATTGATTTGAATTTAACTGGCGTTGCACACTGCAAGATGTAGAAATTCTGCTGGAAAACGTTGCTCTCCGGTAGGAAGGAAATACGTAAAAGTATGTATCTCTCGCGTAGATCGTTTCAGGTTTGAAGATACCCACGCACGCCTGATCGCGAGTAGGTTGTTAACGTAATGCGGAAATACATTAAGCGCAATTTTTGCAGATATATGACAAGATAAGATTTGCAGATATGACATATCGCCTGTCTTTCATAGCTTTCGTAGAATAACCATGTGCTAACTACCTGTTGAAAATTTGTTTGACTATTGATTTGATAGATCATTTTGTAATAGTTCAAGTGGATAGTTCACTGATCGTTCAGAAATAACTTGCTCATTGTATCTGGAGGAGAGAATACAATCAATGTAACAAGATAAGTTGCACTTGCCTCGAAAATAATTGAACATTATAAAAAAGGAAAAATTAATAGCAACAAGTAAACATAAATGTGTATTATCGAGTAAATGATTGGTCGAAGAATTCGACACCCCACCATGTCGAATATCTAATCCCAACTTTACTCAAATTGACATTGAAGATCCCAAACGTTGAGGACATCATGTATAGTTTTGCAAAGATTTTGGAAACTAAGACTGAACAGCCTGTGTCTAGGATTGTAAAACTGTCGCATAATTTTAAAATACTTGAGCATAGGATTTATGTATTTATGACGACAAAATGCTTGAAAACAAATATAGATTTATGTCATTAAAATAAAAGAAAACTATTATTAATATTAAATATCTAGAATAATAGTAACGTTATTACATATATGCATAGAGAAACTCAGAATTATATTCTTGTATAATATATTTAAAGATCATTGAAATCAACGTTTTGTAAATGTTAAAGGAGAATCTTTTAATGGCATATCTGATTACATTTTGAATTATATTCTTGTATAATATATTTGAAATCAATCATTGAAATCAACGTTTTGTAAATGTTAAAGGAGAATCTTTTAATTGCATATCTGATTACATTTTGAATTATATTCTTGTATAATATATTTAAAGATC